TTTGAGTACCTGGAAAATGCTTTGCATACATTTCTGATGATGAAAAAAGGCTCTGGACAGCATCTGGACATGGAACAGTTAAAAAAATGCTTCTAAACGCAAACGCTTCTAAACGCGGTTATCCGTGTTTACAAGCATTTACACACGATCACAAGCATCTGGCGTTTGAAATGCCGGTAAAATCTACTCCTGAATGCAAGTTTGGTGCGTTCAAAAAAACGACTGTAAACTCAACTGCCTGTAAACAACTATGTGTACATGGACATCTAGGAAAAAACATTAGGTAAAGTTCAGGGCCTGCTGAAAAAAATGCAGAACAGCTCCTGAATGTGAGCTTCACAGCTGCAGTGTACATGAGTCCTTAGCTGTTACTCTGGTTTCAAAGAGAATAAGAGAAAATTGACCTGGGATTGATCTGGGTTTCTGTATACTTAGGAGTGGAGGTACAATTACCCATAATTTGGTTCTAAAGGTAAAACATTTTTTTCCTTAATGCATTCCCTGCATTAAGGTAAAAATAATTTTGCCACTTGCTGTGCCCTTCCAAACACATACCTAAATCCTGTATCGATACAGCTCTGTTCCCATCTGCTAGTATTCTCTCCTCTCTCCACACTTTCACAAGCTTGGCTGTTGGTTGGCCATTGGTTCCTGCTGTTGTCAGTCAAATCCTGTGACCAGAGAACTTAAGCAAACACTGCATACCAATGGTTTTCCATTTTTAATACTTTTGTTAAAAATTATAAACAGCTGTTACTTCCATAACAAATAAAAGCTATTTCTTCTCACAACCTCATCTGGCATAACCCAATCTTGAATGCATTTTTTATATTACTTTATGGATTTTAGTGGGCTACGTTGGGGCTCAAATATGTACATCAAATTATACCTGTAAGGAATCTTTAAATGCATTTCTTTAATGAAACAAGAGAGAAACATCCCTGATTCCCAGCAGTTTAAAAACCTTCAGCCTAGGCATGCTTCTGGTCTCTCCTGAAATTGTGGCCTAGTAAAAATCCTTTGATGCTGTACATAGAGTTTGTACAATATGTCTGGCATTTGTCTCTGAAATAACACACTCTAGTTTTTATTTCATGATAAAACATGGTCATTAATTTTAGACTAAGCCTTCTCAAGCTGCTTACATGGTATGCATCTAGTCTTTGAATTAACACACTTTTATTTTTACTTTGAGATAAAACCTGCCTGGTCTTTTCCACCTAAATTGTGGCCTAGGAGGGTGTGGCCATATGTGAGAGTGAGCGGACTCACCTAAATTCTGCTCTAGCCATCCGGACTGATTATTTGCCTCTATTTGGCCATCCTGCTCAGCAAGCCTCTTCCACCTGCCTGGGGAGTACCTCCAATTCTCCATGCCAAGCAATGGTGGGATGGGCAAGAAGCAAACCTCTTTTGGGCTGCGGACCCCTGCAATGGCCATCTTGCCTGGAGCTTCTGCGGCGTCAGTGGTGGTGCAAACAGAGTGGTGGATTGCTGCAGTTATGGAATCAGAGCCAGAATGCTCCTCTCACACATCAGCAGCAGACCTCCCACAGTACCCGATGACAGCTACTATCCTGGCAGCCATCAAAGCCAATAAGTCCACTCTAATGATGAAAATTGATATGCTTTCAATGGAATCTGCACTGATCTGACCGGGCTTAGACAATTTTCGGGGCCGACCTACTGCTACAGAATCCCACATATTTGAAGTGGAGGACGCCATGACCTTCCCCGCTCAAACCCTGCCCGACCTTCAGCGCAGAGTTAAACTCCTCATTGCCCGCTCAGAGGATGTGGAGAATCAGCTCCACTCCAATAATGTGAGGATGGTCAGCCTTCTGGAGGCTCCGGGGACTCCAACCCAGCTGTCTTTGCAAAAACCTTCTTTACGCAAATCCTTGGCTTTCATCATGTCTCCCCAGTGTATGTGTTGAGACAGACCCATAGGGTCCCTACAGGTTCCTGTGGGTTCTTCCCCAAGACCATTTCTGGTTGGTTTCCTCATCTTCAGTGATCGTAAGCTATCCTTGCTGAAGCTTGCAAACACCAGCAGCTGCAACATGAAAATGCTGTCATCCATCTTTATCTGGACTTTTTTCCTGACCTCAAGAAGAAAAGTCATTCCTTTTTAGATGTCTGCAGATAACTCTGGGACAAAGGTTTGACCTACAGCATGTTATACCCCAGCAGGCTTCAGGTTCAACCCAATGGCTCTGTAAAATTCTTTGACTCCTCTACTGATGCATCCGACTGGCTAGATTCCATCGCCTGATACATGGGTAAGATACCTGGCCCCCTGCAGATCTCAATCTCAGCTGAGGATGCACTAGTTTACATTTTGCCTTGGAACTCATTTTTCTGTTCTTCAGGGCTTGACTGAGACTTTTCCATTTATTTGAGACTTTCCTGTCCTGTTTTCTACAGGGGTAGCTCTGTTGTGCTATATGGTGCTATCACTGAACTACCATGGTTCCCCAGTTACCAGACTGGATTGGCCATCTGAACACTCAGCAACTGTTGTTTTTTTTTTTTTTGGGGGGGGGTTTTTTTTGGGTTTTAGGTATCTCTAATGTGTTTGTGGTTTTTGTTCTTTCAGCCAAAGTAATCAGGGAACTTATTTTTTTGTTTGTTGATGCTATATTGGGTGTGTTTTTTTATCACACTTTGGCTTGGGGTTGTTTTTTTTTGCCTCATCATTTGCACTGCTAGCTTAACCCCCTGACGCCGACGCCACACAAATATGCGGCCTCATAGAACTGGGCCTTCCATGGGGCTGCATATTTGCTTACCTGTCTTTGTGCTGGGAGTGCGCCACTCGGTGCGCTCCCAGCACAGAGACCGCAGTCTCACTGAGAGCCCTGGGTCCCGTTCTAACGATCGGGACCCAGGACTCCCGATTCCAGGTCACATGATCGCTGTGTAGCTTCTGATTGGCTATCACAGTGATCAGTCACTGTGAATCCCGGGCCCCTTGTTTTTTTCTCTCTCTATGAATGGAGACGAGAGATACAGAGAAAAAAATGTTTGTAAAAAAAAAAAAAAATAAAGAAGATAAATAAATATTAAAAAATAAAATAAAAAATAAAGAAAAATAACTAGATCGAGGTTTGATCTAGTTCAGTACCAGGGTTAGTGTTTGGGTCAAGGTCAGGGTCAAGGTCAAAGGTCAGGGTCAATGGTCAGGATTTAAAAAAAATTGGTATCAGTGTCAGTTAGTGTCAATGTCAGTGTGTTTTAGGTAAAAAAAAAAAAAAGACAAAAACAAAATGTACACTATTGTTTCTGGGCTGTACTATGGGTACAAACAACAAATAACATACACATATATGGTATCGCTGCGATCGTCAAGAGCTGGAGTATTTATTTTGGGTTGTTCTTTGGTAGTAGGTTATGGTAGTATCAAGCAACACATAGTAAAAAGAAAAAAATGTTTTTTTATTTAGCTATTTTGGGACAGGTTTCCTTTGATAATAAAAAAAAAATCAGGAGCTATCCATTACCATTTACCACCAAATGAAAGCCCAATTTGTCCTGAACAAACGAGGTATAATCCATCTGGATGTACAAAGTAGTTGTGATGATATGTACGGTTTTTACTAACACATGTCAACGTTGCAGAATTGTGCTTAGGCATTGATATTTGTTTTACCCTTAGGTGTGAAGGGGTTAATACCTCTGAATCCTTTTCTACACCCCTGCCCACTCACAATATAATATTTTTTCACCTGGTATGATGAGTACTCTTAAAATGTTATCTTGAAATTTTCTGTCTCACACCCAACTTTAAATGATATCTAGTCCTACAATATTTAAGTTCCCAACTCCCCCATATAGTTCTCCTCCAGGAGATATATCTTACTGGCAACTGAGTGTTTTCCTTGAATAGAAATTAGGTCCTGAGTACACTCCTCCTACGCCTAAGGGTTTGCTATTTTATTGCACAAGAAATTGGCTATAAAACATGCGTATGTAGTTGTGATTATAGAGATTAGCATGGGTAAATATTTTTATTCTGCCCCCCTTTTCATAGTCATGTTCTTTACACTGTCCTGGAACAGTTAGCCCCTTTTATGCCTCTAAAATGATTCCTAGCTGGTGATTTCAGTAATGTATTGGATTGTAATTTTAGACACTTCTAGACACTCCTTTCCTTTCCTCTGTATTAGCCTCATTCTCATGGATTAAGTTAGCCTTTGCCAATTCAGCCCTACTGTCCTTGATTACTGATGCCACAAATCTCTAATCACACATCTTTGCAGGGTATATTGTCTCTCTCCTCAAGTATTCTGGTGTTCTGGGTCTACATCCGGGCTGGGTGACGGAGTCCTCGGTAGAATCCTCAATATCCTCCTTGTTGATGGATTTCTGGGAGTTCAATAAGGGCACTGCCGCTCCACCATTTGTGTGGGACTTCTTTAAGGCAATTATTCGGGGAGCCTATATTTTTGCCATTAAGGCCTCTAAAGTAGAATACAGCCAGGTTATTACAGAACTACAAGGTAGGGAGCATCAGTGTGCCCAAGCTCATGCTGAAACACCCTCTCTGGGCTCCCTGGCTGAGTTACAAATGGTTAGTATACAAACAGGATCTCACGTATTTCATGGTCAAAAAAAGGCAGAAGACCACTTTGCAAAAGGTGCTAAGAATGGTAAAATGCTACCCTTCCTGCCTGCAGAAAGTAAACTGCATACGATAATCCCCTATATCTATTCGCTGAATGGAATGTTGTTACGGGATACAGTGGAGACCCTCTAAGCATTTGTCTTCTACTATACTTCGATGCACTCCCCTATTCCTCCTTATGAGGAGAGTAGCCATATCAAGATTTTAGACCAGTTAGCAATACCTGTACTCCCAATCTCGATTAGTATGCAGTTGGAGGCTCCATTTATGGCAAAGGAAATGGAGGTTGCTATTGGCTCTTTCCTTAATGGCAAGTTCTAATGAGATCCCAGGTGAACACTACTCAGAACAACCTACCCCTCAGTTATTGCAGATGTACAGCGAGTGCTTTGCCCCCTTCCTTCTATGAAGCCCATGTGGTATTATTCACAAAATCGGATAAAGATCCCCTCCATTGCTCTTCGTATTGCCCCATAGCACTCCTTAATATGGATTTTAAAATACTCACCAAGATGCTCTCCATTAGGCTATCTAAGGTTCTACTTTACTTGATTTCCTTAGATCAAACTGGTTTTGTGCCTCAAAAAGCTGCAGACCTTAATCTGCATAGAGTATTCACCCATACTCAGCTTAGCTCAGATACTTTTAGTGGGGGTGTCTCAGTGTTCCTGGAGCTAGAGAAGGCTTTTGATTTAATTGAATGGACCTGTATGAAGAATGTTTTAGGCCGCATGGGGTTGGTCCTTCTTTCCTTAAGTGACGCACCCTTTTGTATGATCGCCTGGTGGCTGCTAGCAAGGTTAACAGACAAGTGTCCAACTCATTCCCAGTGTCCAGGGGCAACCAGGCAGGGGCTTTTTGCACTCATGATGGGGCCCCTGGCCCTAGCCTTGCATTTCTCTAACATTTTGCAGGTAATTCATGTGGGTGGCCTTGTGGAAAAGGCAGCCCTGCATGCTGATAATTTCATTCTTTTCCTACAAGGTACTGGACCCTCTTTACGCATTATCAATTATGGATAACCTAAAGTTTCAGGTCTAAAAGTCAATATAGGCCAAGTCCAAAAGTTTCCTGCTACCTTCCTAGGTAAACCCTGTGAATGTCAATCAGGCAGTTCCCCTCCAGTGGATAATGCAGGTTAAATATTTGGGATTGGTCATAACAAACTCAGTTTCTGATTTTATTATGTTAAACATTTTACATTACTCAAAAATAGGTTGAATGCATTACTTTACATTACTCAAAAATAGGTTGAATGCCTGGAGAAATCTCCCTTTGTCCTTGATTGGAAAAATACACTTAGTAAAAATGAAAATCCTTCCCCAGTTTCTTTATATTTTCTAGAACTCTCTAGTGTGGATCCCCAAATCCATTTTTAAGTCCATAGATAGACTCCTGTCTTTTCAGTGGCAGGGTATGAATCCTCAAATTATACTGGCATTTCTTCAACAACCATGGTAAGAGGGAGGACTGCCAATACCTAATTTCTTTAAATATTTTTGGTTTTTGCTCACTGCTGGTTAACTACCCCACAGGACGATGCTGCTGTGTCCTTGGAAGTGGTTGTCCTGGGATTTTTCGAGGCCCTGAACCATTTGCTCTACAGGGGACTGAAATCCTCTGTTATCTATGGGCAGGATCCCAACACATCTCTACTACTGTCCCCATATACCCCTCTATAAAAAAAAAAACTGCTTTAGCCCATTTTTATTCATACCCTGGGCTGGTTGTTTGGATGAAATTTGGCATTAAAACATTGCAGCATATTACTATACGTGGGTTCCTCCTGACCTTTGCTGAACTTAACCTCCCTGGCGGTATGATTATTTCAGATTTTTGGTGCTGAAAAGCGGTACCATTTTTTTGCATGGAAATATGTATTTTTTTTATTGTAGGCCTGTAATTTAGGAATAACTCACTGAAATCTGTCCAAACAAGAGTCTAGTAAACATTCCGGGTATGATAAAACTTGAAACACAAAATCATAAATTATAATTTAATAAATAATCATAAAAAATAATAATATAATAATTATAAATGTAATTAATATAATCAAACCAAAAACACTTAAATTTGAAATATAGCGCCAAGTTCGGACATCACTGAGCAAAGTCACAGAATCGTTTGCAGTGTCTGACGAATTTCCCCACGAATCATTATCACTCAATTCTGCAAGTAGTTCTGATTTACTATCGCTGTTCTCTAGCTGGTCTAAAACCGCTTTTAACATAAAGGGACGCTTTTTGGACGCCATGGACGTTTCTCAGTTTCCAGGCAGAAAGAACAGTCAAAATGCAGTCAGGGCACAGGACAAAGCACTCGGGACAAAATGTATGTGAAATGTTTTGAAACAGCAATGTTTTACTATATAATAATCATTTTAAAAAAATGACATTTTTAAAAAAATTTCAAATTTGCCGCCCGTCCGGCGCCCGTACATCCCGACGTCACAGGGACCGGAACACGGAAGCCGGATGCCGGCATCGGCTGGAGGAGATGGCCGGGGACGCTGCAGGGGACGCATCGCAGGAGCGAAGAACAAGGTAAGCGCTGCAGGGACTCCCTATGCAATGCTGCATGGTAAGCCCGAGTGTAGCTCGGGGTTAACGCTTTTGGTGCTGAAACTCTACCCCGAGCTACACTCGGGAATACCGCTAGGGAGGTTAAGTAGTTACACCATTTGCCCAATACTCATTTATTCAGATACCAACAATTTAGGCATGCCTTTCAGTCTCATTGAGGTGCAGACTGCATCACTCTGCAACCTAGTGACATGAAATTATTGTTACGAGATGATGCTTTAACTAAAGTACTATCTATATCTTGTTATCTCTCGCCTTGACTATTGTAACTCCCTCCTCATTGGCTGACCTCATCGCAGGCTATCCCCTTTTCTGTCTATCATGAATGCTGCTGCCAGACTTATCCACCTTACTAATCGTTCTGTATCTGCCACCCCTCTCTGCTAATCCCTCCACTGGCTTCCCATTGCCCAACGGATAAAATTCAAAACACTAACAATAACGTATAAAGCCATTTATAACTCTGCCCCAAATTACATCACTGATTTTGTCTCTAAATATCAGCCAAACCGTACTCACCGCTCCTCACAAGACCTCCTACTCTCTAGCTCCCTTGTCTCCTCCTCTCATGCTCATCTCCAGGACTTCTCCAGAGCTTCCCCCATCCTCTGGAACTCTCTACCCCAATTTATCAGACTATCGCCTACTCTGCTCACTTTTAGGCAATCTCTGAAAAGCTATCTCTTCAGGGAAGCCTATCCTGCCCTCAGCTAATACTGGAATCTTCTATACCTCCTACCAGTCCATCCCCCACAGTTACTACCCTTTGTACCACTAGCCCCTCCCTCCTAGATTGTAAACTCCAAGGAGCAGGGCCCTCCTAACCCTCTTGTATTGCACTGTATTGTTGCTGTATTGTCTCCCGCTGAGCAAACTGTTGGTGCTATATAAATCCTGTATAATAATAATCTACTATTTATTACAGCTTATTTTCAGAAACCACTAAACTATTATGGTCGTGCATGACTGTTTGGGATGCTGTTTCTCTAGGGTTGGACAGAGATGACTGGGATTATATCTTGATATCTGGGATATTCTCTTAACCCGACTGGTATCCACCAAGGACCATTTAATACGTTATAAATTATTAAACAGGATTAACTCCAGCCAGATTAGCCAGGATATACAGTATCTCACAGAAGTGAGTACACCCCTCACATTTTTGTAAATATTTTATTATATCTTTTCATGTGACAACACTGAAGAAATGACACTTTGCTAAAATGTAAAGTAGTGAGTGTACAGCTTGTATAACATGTAAATTTGCTGTCCCCTCAAAATAACTCAACACACAGCCATTAATGTCTAAACCGCTGGCAACAAAAGTGAGTACACCACTAAGTGAAAATGTCCAAAATTTGTCCCAAATTGCCATTTTCCCTCTCCAGTGTCATGTGACTCGTTAGTGTTACAAGGTCTCAGGTGTAAATGGGGAGCAGGTGTGGTAAATTTGGTGTTATCGCTCTCACTCTCTCATACTGGTCACTGGAAGTTCAACATGGCACCTCATGGCAAAGAACTCCCTGAGGATCTGAAAAAAAGAATTGTTGCTCTACATAAAGTTGGCATAAGCTATAAGAAGATTGCCAACACCCTGAAACTGAGCTGCAGCACGGTGGCCAAGACCATACAATGGATTAACAGGACAGGTTCCACTCAGAACAGGCGTCACCATGGTCGACCAAAGAGGATGAGTGCACGTCCTCAGCATAATATCCAGAGGTTGTCTTTGGGAAATAGACATATGAGTGCCGTCAGCATTGCTGCAGAGGTTGAAGGGGTGGGGGGGGTCAGCCTGTCAGTGCTCAGACCATACACTGCACACTGCATCAAATTGGTCTACATGGCTGTTGTCCCAGAAGGAAGCCTCTTCTAAAGATGATGCACAAGAAAGCCTGCAAACAGTTTGCTGAAGACAAGCAGACTAAGGACATGGATTACTTGAACCATATCCTGTGGCCTGATGAGACAAAAATAAACTTATTTGGTTCAGATGGTGTCAAGCGTGTGTGGTGGCAATCAGGTGAAGAGTGCAAAGACAAGTGTGTCTTGCGTACAGTCAAGCATGGTGGTGGGAGTGTCATGGTCTGGAGCTGCATGAGTGCTGCCGGCACTGGGGAGTTACAGTTCATTGAGGGAAGCATGAATGTCAACATGTACTGTGACATACTGAAGCAGAGCATGATCCCCTCCCCTCAGAAACTGGGTTGCAGGGCAGTATTTCAACATGAAACAACCCCAAACACACCTCCAAGATGACCACTGCCTTGCTAGAGAAGCTGAGGGTAAAGGTGATAGACTGGCCAAGCATGTCACCAGACCTAAACCCTTTTGAGCATCTGTGGGGCATGCTCAAATGGAAGGTGGAGGAGAGCAAGGTCTCTAACATCCATCAGCTCCGTGATGTTATCATGAAGGAGTGGAAGAGGACTCCAGTGGCAATCTGTGAAGCTCTGGTGAACTCCATGCCCAAGAGAGTTAAGGCAGTGCTGGAAAATAGTGGTGGCCACACAAAATATTGACACTTTTGAGCCCAATTTGGACATTTTCACTTAGGGGTGTACTCATTTTTGTTGCCATTGGTTTAGATGTTAACCACTTGCCAACCGAATGACGGCTACAGCGCGGTTGTCCAGTCCTGGGAAGGCATCATATGATGTCCTCCCAGTATACACCCTCCCACATGCCCCCGGGGACGCACACCTGGCAATCTCCATGATTGTTGTGTCCTACAGACACAGCTGATTATGTGATGTGGTAAAAGGCCAATCACAGCGGCCTTTTACCACATGATCAGATGTGTCCAATGACAGAGCAGATCACCAGTAAATGAAGTTGCCAGTTGCCGGTTATTGGCTGCACTTTCCTCGTGCTGTCAGTCAGTGCCACCCATCAGTGCCCATCAATGCTGCCCATCAGTGCCACCTATCAGTGCCCATCATTTTTGCATACCAGTGCTGCCTCATCAGTGCCATCTATCAGTGCCGCCTATCAGTGCCCATCGGTGCTGCCTATCCATGCTACCTCATCAGTGTCCATCGGCGCCCATCAGTGCTTCCTCCTCAATGCACATCAGTGAAGGAGAACAATTACCTGTTTGCAAAATTGTAAAATAGAAACAAAGAAAACTTTTTTTTCCCCAAATTTAAAATACCAACAAAAAAAAGCTCTATTTGTATGAATAAAATGCTAAAAATGTAATATGGGTACAGTGTTGCATGACCACGCAATTGTCATTCAAAGTGCGACAGTGCTAAAAGCTGAAAATTGGCCTGGGAAGGAAGGGGGTATAAGTGCCTGGTAGGCAAGTGGTTAACGGCCGTGTGTTGAGTTATTTTGAGGAACAGCAAATTTACACTGTTATACAAGCTGTACACTCACTACTTTACATTGTAGCAAAGTGTAATTTCTTCAGTGTTGTCACATGAACAGGTACAATAAAGGGGCGGACTGACAACTCATGGGGGCCCCCGGGGAAAAGGGGATCATGGGGCCCCTGTGTCCTTGCCCAAACTCAAAAAAAGCCTATGAAAAAGGTACCAGGGGCATCTCATGGGGCCCCCTACTGACCCCAGGCCCTTGGGCAGTGCCCGAGTTTCCAAATGGTCAGTCCACCCCTGGTATAATAAAATATTTACAAAAATGTGAGGGATGAACTCACTTCTGTGAGATACTGTATAGGAACCAATCCCCCTCTTGTTCTGTGTCCTGCGCTAATTTTATGCACATATTTTGGGAATACCTATATATCCAATAGTACTGGCAGGAGGTTTTGATTCACTACCATTCCCATTGCTCCCTCTGTGGAAGTTTGTCTTTTGAGCCTGGTTGACTCTCTAGCCTCGACTAATGCTATACGAACCCTTCTCACACTGCTATTATATTATACTAGAAAAACGATAATCTTGCCCTGGAAGAAAATGTCAGCACCAACATTGGCAGCCTGGAAATCACTGGTGAATATATCTGTATAAGGCCACCTATTTCAATATTTCAATAGAGGGGCATTCCGTAATTTTGACAAATTGTGAGGTGGATGATTCTTCTCCACTTCAACTATTTTGGATTGAACAACAGCATTTTTGAAGCATCCTAGAGTTGATATTGTTTAGATTCCTCTACTTGCTTTCATGTTACTGTATAGCATGCTGCTTGGTTATAAATGGGTCTAACAAATGCTCACCTGACGTACTATGCCCTAGGTCTATAGTCTGTATGGATTGCTATGCCTAGATCATAAAGATCTGTTATTTAGACATAAATTAAGTAGGGTGGGGTACGCAACAATGTATTATCTCTGCTGTATTGTCCTGAGTAAGGATTGCACATTACTGGTCACAGGTTTCTCTCTTATTTTGCTGTATGGCCCTGTAAATGGAGGGTATTGTTTATTTCTTTTTGAAGAAGTTGTTATCTTCAATGATGCTTATTTTATTTTTATTTTTGCTATTTTGAAAAGTTAATTTTCATGTCATTTTTTTGTAAAAAACATGTAACAAAAAAAAGGTATATAGTGCCTCAGGTCTGTAAAATATTTGTAACTTTTTTTTCCTATATAATGCACTCTATTTTTTGTTAAGCCTGTCTCTTTTAATCTAGGCATACTAAGGTTGCTTACATAGCGTGCATTCCTTCTGGAAAAATGTCTGTCTTTTGTCTCTGAATTAATACACTCAAGTTTTGATTTTATCATAAAACATACCTGGTCTTTTCATCTAAAATTGCAGCCCAATAGTCTTGCTATTTTTTAAATCTTTACTTAATAGTCCAAATATAAGGCAGGAATCCACTACCTGCCCCATATTGGTGCTAGTTATTGAATTTTGGCAGTCTGAAAGCTGGGCAGTACCTGCCTTTTCCTAATAGTATATATTTTTCATATTGTGTCCTTCACTCAAAATGCAGAAATTGTAAACTTTTCGCCTTGCATTTGATTTATAAATGTTTTGTTTCAAAAATAAATCTTAATGGAAATTGTTGTCATTAGGATTACTGCTACTGCTTTTTCATGTCTGAATATTACGAGTTAAAAGTAAGAGGTAGTTCCTGAAAGTCAAAATGATGGTAGCTGAGTACTTTATCTGTTCAGCTTTGCTTTTTCTGTCGCATGACAACTGTTCTCTACTGGAGATTTGCACAGTTTCCACAGATTAAATACTTTTATTTGCTTGGCTGCTGAAGTGCAGAAGGACAATCAGATAGCATAGGGATTTCCAAAAAGCTTTATCAAAATGTGAATTATTTCTGTGAATATACATTTACTGTGTAGATAGCTAGACCTTCAAGGGACCTTTGTCCGTGGATTCTTATGCTTGCAAAAATCTCTGCCAACACCAAAAGAACACATACATATCAAAATGCTAAACTGTACAAAACAGTATATATCTGTGTATTAACTTTCCTTTACCTATTTCATAACTGACAGTTTTGGATTCAGATGGAATTGGCGAAGGTAAAACAGTGTTTTTGTTTCCACTGTCTTTTCAGCTGCTACAGAATTATCTTCAATTATGTAGCTGTATATAAAACTAAACAATAAACAATGTGATAATATTTCTGTTCAAAATGATCAGGACATGTTTTACTTCTGATCTTATTGCTGGAAAGGTTTGCATTAAAGTGTATCACAAGATAGGGCCCATACAGGCCATAACGCATCTTTTATACTGATGTGTATTGTGTTAGGATGCCCATTTATTCTAAATAGACTGCAAATAAACCTAAACTTCAACTCACAAAGAATAGTTGCTGCTCTATATGTCTGCACATGGGGGGGTGTGTACTACAACGGTAATCTTGGGAGTTTGATATAGGCCTCCCAGTGTTAATGAGGGGGTGGAGACTCTGCTCCTTGCACAGATTGCAAGGGCTGGGACAGTGATAATAATGGGGGATTTTAACTGCCCATAAACTGACTGGAGTAATGGTACTGCAGGAACAGTTAAAGGGCAAACATTTTTAAACCTACTACAGGACAATTTTATGGTACAGACCCCAACTAGGAATGATGGTCTGCTGGACCAGGTAATCTCAAACCATGCAGGGCTTATTACAAATGTCCATATAAAAGAACATCTGGGTAGCAGTGACCATAACATGATTTCATTTATTGTTAGCTGTAAACAGCAAGCACATACAGGGAAAAAAACACTCAATTTTAAGAGAGCTAATTTTCCAAGGCTGAGAGCTGCTTTCCAAGACTTAAACTGAGGGGGAATATTGGCATCGATGAACACAACACAGAAATGGGAGTTCTGCAAAAAGACTGCATGTGAACACATTGCAAAATATATTCCCATGGGCAACAAGTTTAAAAGGCTAAAAATCAAACCTTTGTGGCTTACAGCCAAAGTTACGAAAGCTATAGATAATAAGAAAAGAACTTTTATTAAATATAAAAATGAAGGAATACTATCATCATTTAAACGTTACAAAGAATATAACAGAATATACAAAAAGGAAATAAAGGCCGCAAAAATTGAAAACGAACAACAAATTGCAAAAGATACCAGGATTAAACCCCCAAAAATTCTTCAAATTTATTAATAGTAAAAAGATCTGGTCCGAGCATGTAGGCCCTTTACAAAATAATCTAGAGTGGGTGACTGGGGACAAAGAGAAGGCAAATTTATTAAATACGTTCTTCAACTCTGTGTATACAGAGGAGCATGGGGGAGCTCTTGTCCATAACGGGCATGGTATTGACACAGCTCCAGATGATCCACATTGGCTCACAATTGATATGATCCAAAATTATTTAGACAGAACAACGATGAATAAAGCACCTGGACCGGATGGCATACACCCACGAGTTCTTAAATTGAGTTCGGTCATTTCAAAGCCATTGTTTCTGATTTGTAGGGACTCTTTAATGACTGGCATAGTACCACTGGATGGGCGTAAGGCCAATGTGGTGCCAATATTTAAAAAGGGTTCAAAATCTTTACCAAGTAATCATAGACCTGTTAGTTTAACTTCTATAGTTGGGAAGATATTGGAGAGTTTAATAAAAGACCACATAGATGGGTTCTTGCTGGAAAAAAATATTTTAAGCAACAGACAGCATGGATTCATTAAAGACAGAAGTTGTCAAACAAATTTGATTTCTTTTTATGAAGAGGTGAGCAAAACCTTGGACAGAGGGGTGGCGGTGGACGTGGTATACTTGGTTTTTGCAAAAGCGTTTGACACCGCTCCCCACACACGGCTAATGTGTAAGGTAAAGTCTACAGGCTTGGAAAAATCTGCATGTAAATGGATAGAAAACTGGCTAAAAGATCGTATTCAGAAAGTAGTGGTTAATGATTCATACTCTGAATGGTCTAGGGTTGTCAGTGGTGTACCCCAAGGTTCAGTGTTGGGACCCTTACTTTTTAATATATTTATAAACAATATAGGGTCTGGGATTAAAAATACATTTTCAGTCTTTGCAGATGACACCAATCTGTGCAGTGGAATAACGTCCTTACAGGGTGTCTTCAACTTACAAGCCGACCTCAATGCTCTGTTTAATTGGGCAACTATGTGGAAAATGAGGTTTAATGTTGATAAATGTAAAGTTAGGCACTTGGGGGCTAATAATATGCATGCATCATACATACTAGGGGGGTACAACTGGCGGAATCAATGGTGGAGAAGGATCTGGGAGTTCTGGTAGATCACAAGCTTAATAATGGCATGCAATTCCAAGCTGCGGTTTCTAAAGCAAGCAAAATCCTCTCTTGTATTAAAAGAGGTATAGACTCCAGAGAGAGATATATAATTTCCCCCGTACAAATCATTAGTAACACCTCATCTGGAATATGCAGTTCAATTTTGGGCACCAATTCAGAAAAAGAACTGTCAGGAATGGACTCAGCACTGGTGGTGGGACTCACCTGCCTGTGTGGGCTGCAGTACCAGGGCTGACCAGCGGGTGCTCTCAGCAGCCAGAGGCTCACTGCTGCAATCAGCCAAACCTGGGGCTGATTGCAGAAGGTGTATTTAAGGCATGACCAGGCCTGTGATCAGGGCCTTGGTGTATGTTTTCCCATGAGCCCCTGTACCTTGTATCCTGTGTTCCTGTCCCTCTGCCTGTCTGATTTGTTGCCGACCCTGCTTGATCCTGACCTCTGCTGACCGTCTCCTGTTGAACCCCTGGCTTGTGACCCTGACCATTCTCTGCCTGATCCTTTGTACCGCGCTGCCCGTGAGTTACTGAACCCAGCTTGTGACCCTGACCATTCTCTGTCTGCTCCTTCGGTACCTCGCTCCCCGCACGTTGCTGACCTGGTCTGTCTGACCACGCTAACTACTCTGCCATCCATCCATCCTGCACGGATCCAGCCGTCACTGCTCACACCTTCTGCCTCTTCACATCAGGCTTTCTACCTGCACATACCTCTGGCGGATCCCTCTACCACTAGCAGGTGTACTCAGGGGCCGCGACCTGGTTCCTGTCTGCTCCAAGTCCATCCCCACCATCAGGGGCCCTGGTGAATAAGCAGACTGGGACTTAGACTCCGCGCCCTGGGGAATCCTGTCCTGAGGACCGCTAGAGGTACCACCAAACGGTCATTACAGAACCCTACGGCCGGCCTGACCATTCCACCTCTCCAGCCCTGACTACGCCTGTGTTCCTGCACCTACTAAGATTAGTGGAAGGTTGGTTTGTTCACTGTGCGTTTATATATATATCTGGGTGGCTAATAATAAACTGTATTATTATACTATACCTGAAACCTGCGTTTCCCTGTGTCAGTCCACACCTTTCTGGTCATTCCTAGATTCCTGACAAGAACATTGGGAACTGGAGAAAGTAAGGGGAACCAAACTGATAAGAGGCATGGAGGAGCTCAGCTATGAGGAAAGATTAGAGAAATTTAATTTATTCAAGAAGAGAAGATTAAGGGGGGATATGATCAACATGTATATATACATCAGCGGTTCATATAGTGAACTCGGTGTAGAGCAGGGGCGGACTGACCATTTGGGAACTCGGGCACTGCCCGAGGGCCCGGGATCAGTAGGGGGCTCCATGAGATGCCCCTGGTACCTTTCATAGGCTTTTTTGGGTGTGGTTTGAGTGTGGGTGAGGACACAGGGGCCCCATGATCCCCTATTGCCCGGGGGCCACATGAGTTGTCAGTTCGCCCCTGGTGTAGAGTTATTCACCCTGAGATCACCACAGAGGACAAGGGGGCACTCTTTATGTCTGAAGGAAAAGAAATGTAATCTCCAAACACAGAAAGGTTTCTTCACAGTGATAGCTGTGAAAATGTGGAATAGACTCCCTCAAGAGTTGTTTCTGGTCAGCTCAGTGGATTGCTTTAAAAAAGGCCTGGATTCTTTCTTGGATACACAGAATATAACTGGATACTAACGTTTATAGGTAAAGTTGATCCAGAGAATATCCAATTGCCTCTCAGGGGATCAGGGAGGATTTTTTTCCCAGCAGGAGCAAATTGGATCGTGCTTTGCTGGGTTTTTTTTGCCTCTCTCTATATCAACTGTGGGTGAAGAATTTTTTTTTTTTTTCCAACTGGATGGACTTTGGTCTTTTTTCACCCAGACTAATTATGTAACTATGTAAATACAGTACACTGCAAGGCACATGATTTTCTTCTGTGCTTTGTGGTACACTATAGCTCAATTATGTGCAGTGGTTAATAAAGAATGGCAATGATTCACATATATAGAGGATTAATGTGCCTTAAAACAATGTGCATAACAATATTCATAAAATATAGCACACAACATGGTGTGACAGAGTGCTTGACAAAGGAATGCATCCTAATAAAAAGAACACCAGTCTTGTGGCTGTCCTGGTCATACAGAGTTAATTAACTCTTGAAAACTATAGTGTGTCTCACTCTCTTGCTTAACGGAACATCTAGGACAACAGTTCACCTGGCATGAGAGGCCTGCCAGGTCCCTAGTACGCACCGTACCACAATCAGACACAATCTGCGGTAACAATCACTAGGGAAGAAACCAAGCAAACAGGCTCCTTCACTACAGGGGACCTCCATTGCCCAGGAGGCAAGTATACTAGTACTGTAGCTACTGGCAATGGCACACAACCCCTTGAGGGTTAATTTTACCGCTCATTAGGACACTGGTACTGCACATTCTCTTCACACTGTCTTGGACCCTGATATGCCCATGTAAAGTGATATGCCATGCATGCACCCCTTCCTTAAGTGTTGTAATGACTTCAGACCAATCAGTTTTCAATAGTAACAAACTTCTCTTTACTTGTAAAACTTCTTCCATTATAACTCACCGTACATTACATCTCTTCTAAACATGGTACACACTCTCAGCATTTCTCTCTAACTTGTGGTGCCTCCTAGTAGTACTTGCCCCATAGTTACTTGTAGCTCAATAATGCAGAAAAGTCCACAGAGTCCAATCACAGTCCACAGAGTTCAATCACATAGTGATAAATCTCTCTGATTTTTATTCCCAGAGTGATCACCCATTAGACTGCCCTTCCCTTGTATTTATAGACCACTAGTATGGGGCAGCAAGCTGGAAGAACCTGGGAAACTGGCAGCAAAGTTAACACTTTTCTGTCCTGGAAACACCACTAGATACATATACATTGCATAAGGTAACAATGCTGTAATCACACATCATTGCAATGCAACAGTTTTAGGCACCTGCCTACATACATATGCTTATTAGATTTTTCTAATGCTGGAAATACTGTTTTTAAAGTCCTAAGAGACTGGGAATATCTTTGAGAATGTTTGGTAGTGAAGACTTGCAGTAATTAATGAAAGTGGAAAAAGACTGTGGTTGTTTAAGAGGTTATGCACTGCTCTTAGATTTTAAGCCAGTATATTGCACAATACTCAAATGCTGGTTTTGTTGTACCCACAGCTTTCCTTAATAAGCCAAAAATCCAAATGCACAAAGTTCAGTGCCTGTATCTCTCCCCCAAACCTGTAGAATAATATAGAATAGTTTTTTTTCCAGCAGTTTTGTCTTCAGTAACATGACCTGCAGACTCCATTGCTCCTTGTGAGAACTAAGAATGAGCAAATGTTTCCCAGTTTGGTTCACTGTGGGGTTCACCAAATCCTGTCTGAAAATGTGGAACTTAAAAATGAACCCTATTGAAATCTATGGGGCAAGGTGAATCTTGATAATCAGTTCTGGTCATTTTCAAGGCTAATAGTACAGTAGCTGAACAGTATGCCTGCAGCTTGATTATGCTGCAATGTAGGAGGGAGAGACGAGGCAGGCTTTAACTTGAAATAAACATTAGAGGGTATTATTCAAGAGACAATAGCTACAAAATTTTACAGTGGCTAGACAATATGTTGGTTAGGCTGCAATGTAAGTAGGAGAGAGAAGGCAGCATAAACGATAGAGCGTATTAATGCAGAGAAAATGGGCACAAATATAGTACAGTGGCTGTAAAGGCAGTATGTAAGCATCTTGGTGACTCCACAATGTAAGAGGAAGAGACGGGACAGTTTTATTCTGAAACAAACATGAGTGTCTTTTAAAGGCAATAGACACAAATATTGACTGGACAGCATGTAAGTAGCTTGGTTGGGCCACAATATAAGAGAAAGAGACAAGGAAGGTTTTATCCTGAAAAAAAATGAGAGTGTATAATTTCAGGGACAAAAGCCAAACATTATTACATCAAGCATATTGTACAGTAGCTGAACAGTATGAAAGAAGCTTGATAAGGCTGCAATATAATAGGGACATACAAGGCAGGTTTTTTTCCCTTATAAACATTAGACTGTATTATCTGATACAACCACAAATGTGTGGGAGTACCAGAACATTGGTATGGGCCACAAACTAATTGAAAAAAAAGCAGGATTTACAGTGTCTGATCACTGGAATAGGTCACAAACATGGAGACCCAGAGCATTAGAGTGATGTGAGAAATTTGTCAGCTGAGGTCCAGCTGTAGAAACATTGTTTGATACCTTTATAGAGTCCAAGCACCAGCAAAGGTGGCACAGTTTGAGGTGCACTGCTTTGTTTACACTGCAATAAATATTACAAGTTTTGCAGCTGAGGTCCAGATCTGGAAAAATTGTAGTGTCTATTTATAAAGTGTGAATCTGACAATCAACAGTCACTGGTGGTGAATCTTCCTGTTGCATGTGTTTTCAATGGCAGTGATTAATTCACTACCAATGAACGTTTTAGTAAAAATCAACATGTATAAATTTAATCTCCAAACACCGAAATGTTTCTTCACAGTGAGAACTGTGAACATGTGGAATAGACTAAACCCTCAGGGGTTGGTTCTGACCAGCTCAGTGGATTGCTTTAAAAAAGGCCTGGATTCTTTCTTAGATACACAGAATATAACTGGATACTAACATTTATAGGTAAAGTTGATCCAGGGAATATCTGATTGCCTCTCGGGGGGATCAGGAAGGAATTCTTTTCCCTGCAGAAGCAAATTGGATCATGCTTTTCTGTTTTTTGAACTTTTGTCTTTTTTTTATCCATACTAACTATTTAACACTTTCTGCTTTATTAGTGCCACTATGTAACCAAGTGTGGTAGCGTTAAAGTGTCACTGAATTAGGCCACAAACTTTGAAACACAAGGGAGGATTGACCCTGAAGCAAACATTTTTAATTTTGAAGCTAAGGCCCAGTTGCAGAAACATTATGTGTTGCACCTACTGTATACAGTGCTGGAGCACTGAAAGAACCCAGTGGAGGTGACAGGAGCTTTTAATTTTGCCAGACCACGAGAGCTAGTGGGAGATGGTAATGGTGGCAGGCCAGGAAAAATGGAAGGAGCTGGTAATGGTGGAAAGTCAGGAAAGGGGTCAGGAGCAGATTCACCTCTCAAAAACAAAAATTCCTGTTGTGCTTAAGGCCAAAAAACAAAAAAAACAAAATTGCCTGTGGCACTCATTCACAGATCTGTTGCTGTTAATGAATTCAGTGAAACAAATCACTGCTAGTGTTTGAGTAACAATGTGGTCTACTCATTGACTGAACCTTGTAACAACCTAAAAGTAAACACACATGATACAATGTAACAAATTCTTCATACTGTGACATGTGAGACTAAACAATCCTGGAGGTAAGGCTGTATAACTAGACATATATACAAACACTATGGACAGAGGGGGATTGGGAACAGATGGACCATAAATAGATATATGTGCAAAAGTCCATACATATAAGTTGGAGGTATGTGATCCAGCACTGTCCTGAATAAGAGGCTCAGTGATGGGTGAATACGGGCCTTGGAGATCGAGGCAGCCAACTGTCAGAGCTTGAAGTGAATCTAGTGCACAGATAGGAGAGAGAGAACACAGTGGCGCCAC